AAAGGAACATTTGTCCTTGCAGGGAAAGTAGAGGGGCAACCTAAAAGTGTAGGAGTTTTGACAAAGAGGGGATCCTGGATCCTGTGTATTTTGTTAACAGCAAGATGCAGGATCAAGACTTACTGGACAGGGGGAAGGAACAGACCACAGCAGCACCAAACTCTGAGCATACTGCGCTCCTAATTATCTCAAATGGTTGGTCTCCTTTCAGGCGTTCCAAAATTATCCTCAAATGGGTTTCCGGATTTGACACAGCCCAATGAGTATGTCTCAAAATGGGAAGCGATCTTCTTGCTAACGGGAAACCGCAAAGAAGGCCGCATTTGCAGGCCAGTGCACACGGATCACACTGCCAATCTGACGGAACAATGCCAGAGTCAAGTGCAGCTCTCAAATCGCCTTGAGGAAATGGTGTGAGGCGTTCCACGAATGCTGAATCCAATGGAATCTGGCACATCCCTTTGCAAAGAAATGGAACAGGGCCCTGGCCCCTCATCACAGTCCCTCGTCGCAGTCCTTCGATGCAATCTTTGCTTCACCACTGGCCCCATGATTATGCCGAAGTCACTTTCAAGAGGGTCAAAAAGATTCCGTCAAAGCGACTCGCCATGGAAAAAGCAACAAACATATGGGTTCAGAGTCTTTGGAAAGAAAGTAACCCTTCAAGGATGCTTAGAAAAACGTGTTTTGCTGGACATGGGCAGCAACCCAAAGGCCCAAATGGACCGGGTCACGATTCTTCTGGGGGGAACGCGCAGGTTTTATCTCCGGGCACAAACATGTCGTTCATTCCCACGATATTGCATTCGCCATAAATTGAAGAAGTTGATAGGACACAACAAGACAAAATATCCCCAAGGTGTTTCCCCAAGAACATCTAAGCGCACGGCACGTAAGCAACCTCGGCACAGACATGTTCTGGGCATATTCAGCTCACATACCGTATTGGGTGAATTTTCCTCAACCACCTTTTCAAGGGTATCTAAGTAGTATATAAGGCAGGAAGATTAGGGACCACACCGATGGCAGAAAATAAAATAAGCAGAATATGACAATTCTGGAATTAACTCGTGCAGCAAAATGATTGATACAATATGAACATGTTGCAAATGAGCCCATAACACAAGAATATGACGTGACCATAAGAAGTCTCACTGTCACATGCGCAAGGAACTCCCAATCCGTAATACGGTTGACAAATAGAGTGTATTTGATCTATTCCTTTCATTATCAACACAGATGTAAGCTTCGGGATTTATACTCGGTACTTCATCGCAACAAGCAAAATCCATGCCAATGGAACTGTCACAAATGGTTTCATACTTAGTCTAGGTCGCCCAGTAGTGCCCTTTTACCCTTTTTGGAGGAGGGTTCCCCTACTAAAATAGACTACAGCAAAAATATCGAGTACCCTTATTCTATCCTCTCTACTGGAAAAACCTAGGTGTCACCAATTTCTGGTGTTTGCTGACGAGTTTTGAGTTTCCCCAATTGGTTTTGAAGGGAACCTTTGCCTTTGCGATAGCGCACAGTGTCTGTTCGACGCAGCGTTTTATTAGGGGGAAAGAAGGAGAAGGCCCCAAAAACAAACAAGTCAGTGTGTCTATCCAAGTGACCTATCCAAGTGGAAGGTTCAATCCAAGGGAACCTATCCTTTCCCCAATTGGTCCAAGTGGAAGGTCTGTGTCTGAGGCGTGTGAGGCGTGTCTGAGGTGTAGATTCGCTGGTCATCATCTACTGGGCCGTGGGAGTGGGCGGCGCCAGTCTCCTCCTCGCCTCCGCGGCTGGCTATTGGATCCACAAAAAGACCCGGGGAGGGGGGAAGGGGGAGGGGAGGGGAAGGCAGGGCAGGGGAGGGGAGGGAGGAGGGGGGGGTTCCTAAAAGTGATGGTGATTTCCTATTACTCTTGGGGTCATGCTGATTCAAGGCACCAGATGGGTGCTCAAAATAGGTGCCTCCTTCAATGGTTGGTTTCTTTTTGGCTCCCAACACAGCCAAAAGGACATCCGCCGTTTTGAGCATACTGAAGCTCCCATCTTCTGTTTTGGGCATACTGAAGAGTATCAACTCCATGATTCAAGTCTACATCCGAAACCAAACATCGGGTGCTGGTTTTGGAGGTACCATTTTTGGGGTTGTTGCAAAGGGCGACCAAAAAGGGACAATCTCGCTTAGAAGTCCCTAGACACATTTTCAAGTTTGCGCCCAACATGAAGCGGTGGACTCAAATGTGGGCAACTTGTAGCGACATGAAGAGAATTGATTTGCGACCTGACTGTGGATGAACGAAATCCTGCACCACCTAAGAAACATTGTTGCTAGTATTTACAGGGGAATCGGATCATTCCAGGGTTTCTTGGTGCGAAATGGATTTCGCAACCATCCACAGTATGATCGCGGTTTTGTTAGGGTGATTTGCTGGGGGTTCCTTGCCAGGCGGGTACCCTTAGCCTTGCTACCAGAGTCGTTTGCTTCAGGTCGTACCTTTCCGAAAATGAGGATCTGTAGGAGCAGTTAGTCTTGGATGGCTAGGCGGGTGTACAGATGGGTTCGCAATCAGCCGGCAACTGCAATCACGAGTCATGAAGACTATCCGGTTAATCCTCTTTGAGGTCTATGTTGGACGATTTAATCCTCCAAAGAAGGCTCAAGGGTTTCTTCTTGTGGCTTGTGCTTGACAGTTGCCATAGTTAACAGTAGCTCAAAATGTCTTGGCTTTAAATCCATGTTGATGACATTATGCACATGGCGGGTTCTTGTCCCACACTGCGCGAATCCCGACACTCTGGGGTTTGACCTTTAATCGTCAACCTTTCCGGCACTTGCTTTGGCTCCCACTCACCAGCAACATGCTCTGCTTTTTGCGGGGTGTCAAAGACCAGCTCTTGGTTGCCACAGGCTGAGATTGACTCCTTCGCAGGAGGCCGCCCAAAGTGAGCCAAGTGAGTCCGGAGATGGCGGAGAATCCCAATTCGGAGTTGGCGCTCAGAGACGCTGCCGCTGGTGAGATGAGCTTATATGAGCCATGGCTGTCAAAGCTGGGTAATTCTAAGCGGGGCATCGGCCAATAGGGCACATGAACATGCTGACTTGCTTTTGCAGCCGCCGTTGAATTCCTACTGTGGTTCATTTACTGTGGTGATGGCTTTGACTATGTATGCGGGGCGTGTCCTGTGGTCCTAGGCGTGGGAGGAAACATGCATCGTGTGGTCTAGCCGATGTGCATGGTGATTCACACGAAAATCACAAAATAGCATGTTGGTTTTCCTTGGTATCCATAGTACTGTTTGTTCAAGGATTGTTGAGGTCGAATTGTTGGTGGTCTGTTTGGATTGCATGACAGGTTGCTTGTGGATAGACCATAATATAGTCGTTTGTTTGTGTGCTTGCTTGCTTGCTTGCTTGCTTGCTTGCTTGCTTGCTTGCTTGCTTGCTTGTTTGTTTGTTTGTTTGTTTGTTTGTTTGTTTGTTTGTTTGTTTGTTTGTTTGTTTGTTTGTTTGTTTTTTGTTTGTTTGTTTGTTTGTTTATTTGTTTGTTTATTTGTTTGTTTCTTTGTTTGCTTGTTTTGTTGGTTGCTTGGTTTGATTGTTCGCTTGATTGTTTGGTTGGTTCGTTGGTTCGTTGGTTCGTTGGTTCGTTGGTTCGTTGGTTCGTTGGTTCGTTGGTTCGTTGGTTCGTTGTTTGTTTGTTTGTTTGTTCGTTCGTTCGTTCGTTGGTTTGATTGGGACCCCTACACAAGCCACAAGCGCCCTATCATAAAGGGAAGCGTGACCATTCTAAATGTATTGGGCTCGGGAGTTCACCCATTGCCCAAATCATCCACCCTTTGGTTTTGCATGCTTTTGGAAGGAAGGGAGTGATACCACGTTCTGATTGCGACGAATTGAATTTTGCATGGTCGAGATTTGTTTGGACTTGTCAACCCTCCCATCAATTGCAAGTTTGGGGGAATCGATGGGAATCAAGCAGTTTTCCCACGAATTGCGCGACAGAATCATACCCCTTCGGCAAGGAGACTAGACCACACCTGAATCGCCAACGAAAGCAAGCACCATTTGTGTGGGTTTGCCTTCTCGACCCCGCATAGCTCTTGTATCAGCGGCCCGATCCTATTCCCGGGCCCTATTGCCGGCTGGTGAATTACTACTCCCCAGCCTTAATGGGGAACGCCAAACATATCAAGAGTTGGCTTACTTGGAGCTCCCCAGGCATGAGCGAGTGTCCCCAATTGAAACCCAACCTCGGGGTGTCCAATGGACTCAGATCTCCTTTGCTGTGCGCCCAAGGTCGCCCGTTTTTTTTGTTTAATTATTATTATTATTATTATTATTATTATTATTATTATTATTATTATTATTATTATTATTATTATTATTATGTTTCTGCGTGGTCTTGTGGCATGTGACGAAGTATTGAACCCGGGGATGCCATGGGATTCTCGCATCCTGTGTTTCCCATTGTGGGAGTCTCATTCGGATTGCTTAGAAGTTTTCCTCGTTGGGAATGGCTTTAACTGCCACTGGGTCTGGTAAACCATATTATCCCCGTGAAGAGGACTGCCATGTTCGCCTGAGGATGTAGCCTCCATGACCCAAGTTGGTATAAAGTTGGACCCAACAGTCAGCGAAGCAAATTGCCCAAGGAGCCGACAGAGAATGGCTCCAAGACCTTCTCCATAGACCAGCCCCACATCCTGAAGCCCGCGCGGGACAGAGGATCCAAGGAGTGGCAATACTGGTGAGGTCCGATCCCCGCTGGGGCGGCGGGGTGAGACATGGTGAGACCTTTTGCCTGATCCTGCGGCGCATCGCGACCGTTGTGCATGGTAGATGTAGGTGCCGCCGAAGATTTGCGCGCGGCAACGTTTCACCGGTCAGAAGACGCATGTCCAGCAGTGCCTTTCTTAAGAGAAATGGCACGCTCGCTCATTCGACAGCATCCAGGATGTTGGACGAATAAGACAAAACAACTCACATAATTGCAAATATCTAAGACAAAGAAATAGTTCTAAAACAAACGCTCATGGAATAGTCGTGACACTAATAGATTTGTTGAAAGAAAACTGATTATCCAGCAAGAGACCCAAAAAATAGGATTGAAGAATGAATCCAAACTGAACGGGATCCTCTCTATTTCTGGTGGGGAAAAAGAGATAGAGAGAGAGAGAGAGAGAGAAAGAGAGGAGAGAGAAAGAGAGAGAAAGAGAGGGAACAAGAGAGGGAAAGAGAGAGAGAGAGAGAGAAAGAGATGAGAGAGGAAGAGAGACAGGGGGACAGAGAGAGAGAGAGACAGGGGGAGAGAGAGAGACAGAGAGAGAGAGAGAGAGAGGTAGAGAGAGAGGTAGAGAGAGAGGTAGAGAGAGAGGTAGAGAGAGAGAGGTAGAGAGAGAGAGGTAGTGAGAGAGAGGTAGAGAGAGAGGACAGAGAGAGGTAGAGAGAGAGGTAGAGAGAGAGGAGAGAGAGAGGAGAGAGAGAGGTGGAGAGAGAGGTGGAGAGAGAGGTAGAGAGAGAGGTAGAGAGAGAGGAGAGAGAGAGGTGGAGAGAGAGGTAGAGAGAGAGAGGTAGAGAGAGAGAGAGGTAGAGAGAGAGAGGTAGAGAGAGAGCGGCAGAGTAGAGAGAGAGGTGGGGAGAGAGAGGTAGAGAAAGAGGTAGAGAGAGAGTAGAGAGCGAGGTAGAGAGAGAGGTAGAGAGAGAGGTGGAGAGAGAGGTAGAGAGAGAGGTAGAGAGACAGGTAGAGAGAGAGGTAGAGAGAGAGGTAGAGAGAGGGGTAGAGTAGAGAGAGAGGTGGAGAGAGAGGTAGAGAGAGAGGTAGAGAGACAGGTAGAGAGAGAGGTAGAGAGAGAGGTAGAGAGAGGGGTAGAGTAGAGAGAGAGGTGGAGAGAGAGGTAGAGAGAGAGGTAGAGAGACAGGTAGAGAGAGAGGTAGAGAGAGAGGTAGAGAGAGGGGTAGAGTAGAGAGAGAGGTGGAGAGAGAGGTAGAGAGAGAGGTAGAGAGACAGGTAGAGAGAGAGGTAGAGAGAGAGGTAGAGAGAGGGGTAGAGTAGAGAGAGAGGTGGAGAGAGAGGTAGAGAGAGAGAGTAGAGAGACAGGTAGAGTAGAGAGAGAGGGTAGAGAGAGGGAGAGAGAGGTAGAGTAGAGAGAGAGGTAGAGAGAGAGAGAGAGCTAGAGAGAGAGGTAGAGAGAGAGAGAGAGTAGAGAGAGGTAGAGAGGGTAGAGACAGAGGTAGAGACAGAGGTAGAGAGAGAGGTAGAGAGGGTAGAGAGGTAGATAGGTAGAGGTTGAATAGAGAGAGAGGTAGAGTAGAGAGAGAGGTGGGGAGAGAGAGGTAGACAGAGGCAGAGAGAGAGGTGGGGAGAGAGAGGTAGAGGGAGATAGAGAGAGGGATGGAGAGAGGGGCGGAGAAAGAGGTAGGAGGGGTAAAGAGATCGACGATTTTGAATAATTCGATATAGAAATAATATTATTAAAATGATAATAAAGAATTTATATTATTTATTTAATTTCAAATATTAATTCGATACATTCGAATATATTTATTGATAATAAAATTAGAAAATATATCTGCATTTATATATTTGTGGTTGACTTGATTGGTTTATTAATTTATTTTGAAAATATATTTTAAATTTTTATTAAAAATAAAAAAATAAAAATATTTATATAATATTTTGGAATTAAATTTAATTAATATATATAAATATTATAGAATTAATATATATATATATAATAATTTATTAATTTAAAATATAAAATATAATTTTTTAATTAATATATTTGTTATAATAAATTTTATATATTAATTATATTATAATTAAATATTTTTATTTATATAAAATATATAAAGTATATATATATTTTTACTAAACATAAATTAAATGAAACCGCATATAAAGGATACTTACTATTTTGTGTTTGGTTTGGGCCTCATTTTCGGAACGGGATGATATAATTTCCGTGCTTAAAGTGACGTTGGGTTGTGGATGGGCGAGATTCTATCTTACGATTCTGTTTTGTGGTTAGTGTTTTCGAGCATCTCGATTTTAAGCTTTGGGCTGAATTACCTATTATATTATAGATTTCTTATGCTTTTGCGGAAGTAATTGTATATAGTTAATTAATTCAGAATGAATTTAATTCGTCGAATATAATAAATATTATTTAGAAATAATTAAAATCCGAGAATAATAAATAGATAAATATAAAAGGCTCGTAATTTTTGAAACAAACATCGATTTATTGATTAAATTCATATAATAATATATATTTGTGTATAGCGAAATATATTATATGTGTTAATAGTATTCTAAATTAAATGAGAAAAAAAAATCTATTATTTAATTATATATGAATTCGATTAATAAATCAAATATCAAGATTAAACCTTTTTAAATTATATATATAATAAACAAATAATAATGTAAAATAATAAATTAATTCTATCAATTTATCTAATTTATATATAAAACCTTTAATAAAATTCTATTAATATTAACACAATAATATTATATTTGTCATTCCTATATTTATATATCCAAAATAAATAAAATAAAACAAAATATAACATTTCTTTTTCTATTCAAAATACCTATTTCTAATCAATAAATTCTATCACAATTCTAAAAAATACCATAAATCAAAAAGAAATACAACAAACCCAAAAAAAACACCTTTTTAAATGTACGACGGATTTTTTTTTCTAAATTAAAAATTAATTTATTAAATATTTTATATAATATAATTTGTTAAATTATTATATTTATCAATTAAATATTATGTATATAAGTTCAATCAAAATCCAAATATTATTTATTATTTAAAAATAATATATTATAATTGTTATATTATATATCAAAATCCTTCATTAATCGGCAAGTAATATCCCAAAAAGAAACAAAACTAATTCTATATATATATATTCCTTATTAATATTAAATATATAATAATTAAATTATGTTTTAAATATAAATATTCATAAAAATCCAATTAAATATATAATCAATTATATATATAATAAAAAACGAAACCACACCTCCATTCATAATATATTCTTATCCAAAAAATATAATAATTAATTAATATATATATATATACCAATTATTAATCACTCCCAATATATAATATGTCATAATTCATTCCACAAAAACCTTTCCCAACCTCGAATTTATTATTCTTTCCTTTCCCCTATAATCCAATTCCAAAAAACACTAAAATATTATTATATCATTAAACAAATTATCCTAAATATAAATAAATAATACTTAATAATAAATTATTATTACAATCATATAAATATAAAAAATATAGTTTTACCAAACATCGATATACCAACAATTAATCATTCTTTCTCTCTCTCTCTCTCTCTTCTCTCTCTCTCTCTCTCTCTCTCTCTCTCTCTCTCTCTCTCTCTCTCTCTCTCTCTCTCTCTTTCTCTCTCTCTCTCTCTCTCTCTCTCTCTCTCTCTCTCTCTCTCTCTCTCTCTCTCTCTCTCTCTCTCTCTCTCTCTCTCTCTCTCTCTCTCTCTCTCTCTCTCTCTCTCTCTCTCTCTCTCTCTCTCTCTCTCTCTCTCTCTCTCTCTCTCTCTCTCTCTCTCTCTCTCTCTCTCTCTCTCTCTCTCTCTCTCTCTCTCTCTCTCTCTCTCTCTCTCTCTCTCTCTCTCTCTCTCTCGTTAAAATACGTTGATACTTTACTTCTAGTGCAAGTGTTGTTCGGTTATCACAAACACAAATGTAGTCAGCCAGCATGCACTCTTTTCCTAGTAGACTCAAGGCCTGCAGTCGGGTAGTGTACATCACGCATGCACAAGTGACAAGTAGTGCAACATGATATTTGACACGGCCCCTTGGTTAAAAGACCTTGTAGTGTCCTTTAACCATAGACCCAAAAGGTGGTATTGACAGTAGTGGCAAAAAAGGAATGCACATGTTGTTTGCCGATGCTACTGTAGCGAACAGGCATGTAGTCTCTTAAAAAAGATGACCGAAGGTAGGTATCTACAGCGCTGCTGTCTGTAGTTCAACTAACCTTCAAATGATCAGAAAAGTGAAATTGCTGTACAAGAACCCTAGTTGGTTCTCAGTCATCTCGTAGTACGATGACGTAGTACAGCACGTAGTTGCAGCTCCACCTGGAGATCAGGTGTGCTTAGTCCAGTGTTACTCGGTAGCTCTGGACTTGGCTGATGCGGTAGTCCAAGCCTGCATAGTGGTTGGTAGTGAATGTGTTGAGGAAGTCTGGACCGCCACGAAGGCGGTTGTAGTCGCATTCCGGTGGTGCAAGTGCTTGGCCGGTGGTAGTGAGGTAGTTGTGGAGTAGGAGTTTGTGTTGCATGGAAAGATTTGTAGCCGTGAGGAGGGTGATGCCGTAGTAGGTGACACTTTTGTGTAACATCGTGTTGATGGACTTGTAGTGGTGGTCTTGGAGTTGCTGTGGTTGGTCGAAGTAGTTGAGTAGTTCTGGTAGGTACAAGGGCATGTAATAGTTCCAAATGAAGTTGTTGGACAGGTTGAATGTAGTGGTGATCTGGTCCAAGTTGTAGGTGATTCGGTGTAGTCGTTGATGTAGCTGGCGTGTAGGTAGGTGGTGCTCATCTTTGATGGAAATCATGTGGCTCACGTAGTCGCGGCAGAAGTTGACGAGTTGTCCAGCGCTGACAAATCGTAGTAGACTTCTGGTGGAATGTGTAATTGGATGATGACCATCGAGTTGGTGTACTGGGTTGTGAGGTGTAGTGATGTAAGGTTGTAGTAGTAGAAGTTGACTGCCTCTGAAAGACGTAGGTGAAGAGGTCGTGAGTCGTAGTGTGGCATCCGTAGGTCTGAAGGTAGGTCGTGAACTGGTAGGTTGTAGTTGAGCTCGGGGATGGGTGTAGTTTGTTGTTGACTTAGTAGTTGGAACTCCTCGAGCGTCAAAGCCGCGTAGACCCTGAAGTAGTTCTGCTCCGGGTCGATCGCTGGAGTGTCGGGGAT